GACCTTGCCCTGAGCTTAAGTTGGATGCTTAACTGACTGAGCCACCCCGGCACCCCTATTTATTTATTTATTTATTTATTTATTTATTTATTTATTTTTAGGTCTTTTTTTAAAAATTTATTTTGAGAAAGAGACAGAGAAAGCAGGTGGGGGAAGGACAGAGAGAGAGGGAGAGAGAGAATCCCAAGCAGGCTCCATGCTGTCAGTGTGGAGCCTGATGTGGGACTTGGACTTACGAACCATGAGATCACGACCTGAGCCAAGATCAGGAGTCAGACGCTTAACCAACTGAGCCACGCAGGCACCCCTGGTATTGAGATCTTGATACAAAATGGCATTGGAGGGAAGCAGTTGTACAAGAGGATATTGGCTTTGATATTAGCATTTGTCTTTGCCTGGTGTGTGTTCCTTCTGTGCAGACAAACAAGTAAATCACAGAGGCAAGTCATGGAAGGGGAACTGGTTTGCATGATAAACCAGATAAGTTGGAGTCAGACTGTCATAACTATACAACAGTGACTTAAGGCCACTGCTCTGACTTCTTTTTCAGAGCACATGGACGAGAGAAAGATCTGCAATGCCGTTTCTCCAGACAAGGATGTTGATGGCTTTCATGTAATTAATGTAGGGCGAATGTGTTTGGACCAGTATTCCATGTTACCAGCTACCCCATGGGGTGTCTGGGAAATAATTAAGCGAACCGGTAGGTCTATCCTATAGTTGTATGTCTGTGTTAACTATTATAAAAATAGTACTTACAGATGATAAAAAGTCCTACAGTAAGCAGAAAGGATGCTCCGATACTCTGGCCACACATCCTCTAGGTCCCGACCCCAGAGCCTACCTCTCTCTGCAGTTGCCTATTTTGACTGTTTGCCTATTTTAACTTTGTTGCTATTTAATCCAGAAGCCCCCATAAAGGAAACTTAAGATTTGATTGTGTTGATAGTGCACACTCCTATAACATTTTGTAGCTTACAGGGTGCTTTCTCTCTCTTTTTAGCCTTCACTCTATGTAGCAGGTGATAGGCCCCATTGACTGATGAGGCAACAAGCTTAGTAACTCCCTTAGTTACCACTGGTTTATGTCCAAGGCTATCTGTCTGCCTTTTTCTTTGGTGCTCATTCTAAGATAGTCTAGCACTCTTTTTAATGCAAATATATATATTTCTTCATAGGCATTCCAACCCTGGGGAAGAATGTGGTTGTGGCTGGGAGGTCAAAAAACGTTGGAATGCCCATTGCAATGCTACTACACACAGATGGGGCTCACGAGCGCCCTGGAGGTAAGGCAGTGGAGTTCTGAGGAGTATTCCTTCCTCCCTTTTGTGCAAACCTTCAGAGGCTGTCCTATGTTTGTTAAACTTTGCATGTGTATTTATTGTGATTTTGTTAGCAGATATTTGGCATATTTGGGGAGTGATCTTGGTAGGACAAGCTGAACTCATGTCACCTGAGACTTTTAAATGCCTTTATTAGGGACCTACTACAGAAATGGATATGCCTCAGAATTAAATTTGAATTTTGAGTGTAAGCATGGTTGACGGCAGTTACACATTTTCCTTTATGGCTTGGATAGTTGGGGCTAAGAAACAGTTCAAAGTTAGTATCCCATTCTATGTCATTTGATAGAAAAAAATCTTAGACCATTGCAAAGGATTGACTTGAAAAGGCTGTAGTGTGTCATTATGTCAAGTTCTGTGAATTTGTCTGAAAAGCCTCATAAATCAGTTATCACACGTGATTATCATATGATCTTACATGATTACATCAGAAATAATGGCAAAACTATGTACTTCCAAATATGTTTCAGCACACTTATTTTTTTAAGCCTTGAGTAATTCTAGTGACACTGTGCTTAGGAAAAGTAAAATTCTTGAAAGGCTGCTAAATAGGATAAGGAATAAATTTAATTATATATGATTCAAAAGGATAGAGATAGGATGAGGGGATGAAAGTTTAAGAAACTGGGTATTAATTTCTGAAAAGTAAATGATTACTGAGCTGGCCAGAAAATATGGTACATGAATTAAGTCAATTATTTTTTTCAGAGATGGTGAATTTCTAAAATGGGTTGGTTAATTAAGACCTAATCCAATCTCAGCTTTGATTCAGAAATCAGGACATCTATATTTTAACTCCTAGGCGATGCCACTGTTACAATATCTCATCGATACACTCCCAAAGAGCAACTGAAGAAACATACAGTTCTCGCAGACATTGTGGTCTCTGCTGCAGGTACGAACACCGGGGAGGGGATGGAAGGACAGCCCTTAGAATCTTGGACTTTGCCTGCCTCTCTGCTACCCCATTCCCATTCCTTTAGGGATGACCCTGTGAGCTGCCCACAAAGATGAGGTGGGAACTATACGCGCGGTGTTGGTTTTTGGCTTTTCACTATAGACTTGGTGGGTAATGTTACTTCAAATGGGCCCAAATATTTCTGTTTACTGTGTGAAGTTTCAGTCATTCCTTGGTTAACAGTTTTCACAGGTTTTCACGAAATAAGCTTTTTAGTTCTTCCATGTCCCTTAAAATTGAAATCAGATAAGACTGTGACAGGTGGAATCTTTCTTTCGGTACTAGTGACCATTCCTGTCATTCCTGTCTCTGCAGGCATTCCAAATCTGATCACAGCAGATATGATCAAGGAGGGAGCAGCAGTCATCGATGTGGGAATAAATAGAATTCAAGATCCCATCACTGCTAAACCCAAGTTGGTTGGAGATGTGGATTTTGAAGGTATATGGTATAATTTTCTTAAAATATAAAGTCAGTAAATACTACCTTTAATGGACATTTAGGACAGATTATTTACTTTTTCTTTAACTTTTAAACTTACGTTACTCTGGGGGCGCCTGGCTGGCTCAGTTAGTAGAGCATGCGAGTCTTGATCTTGGGGTCGTTGAGTTTGAGTCCCATGATAGGGGTAGAGAGTACTTTAAAAACAACAACAACAAAAAAAACCACTTAGGTTACTCTGGTAATTTAAAATGTATCCCACATGAATTAAAGAGAAATCTTTTAAGAAATGGTAGTCATTCTAGAATCATTTTAGGATGTTTATATCATAAGATTATGGGGACCAGCTATAAGCTTTTCAGGAAGGTGTTCATTCTTTCTTCAGGGTTACTTCATAGTTGAAACGACTTCATGACTTAACAAGTCTGAAAATTTAATGAAGTGACTTTCTGACACCATTCAGTCTCCTAGAAGGTGTTACAGATTTATCATTTTCACATTGAAAGGGGAGATCACAAACCTGAACCTGTTAAAAATGGTCCAGGAAAAAGTCACGTTCCTGACTTTTGAAGTATACTAGTAGATTTCTCCTTTCAGTTTTTAAGGTATCATGTTTATCTCAATTTTATGCTGATAAGTCTGTTTCTAGCTTTCCATTTCTAATAAGCAATCAGACACAAGGCTAAGTGCTTAAGTATTTTTGCTTTAAGATTGCGTTAAAAAAAAATCTTCTCACTTTCCAGAAAATTACTTTGTTTGGTGCTTTGGGTAAACAGTATATAGTTAAAGAAATCTAGTAAATAAATAGTAAAAAAATAGAATAGAATAAAATTAAACTGTTCTAGGTAGCTATTGTTAATATATTAATAACATAAAAATAATTATTATAGTTATACTTCACATACAGTTAACCCATCCAGGTATTTCTTTTGAAATTGATTTAATATGGAGGAAAAGTATGACTAGTAAATTATAGGTTAAATGTATAAATATTCATTGAACAACTCCTTATTATGTGAATGTTGTTTTATTAGTATGTTCAAAAAGCTTTACCCCTGAGTCATATAGATGTGATTTTTTTTTTAATGAGTTTGAGGTTTTTGAAGGTGCTTACATATATTCTTGCTTTTTCTTTAAATGCTTCTTCCATGGTATGTTAAAATGCATACATTTCCTTTGCTATAATTAAGGCAGTCTGCCTATCCTGTTTCTATATAGGCGTCAGAAAGAAAGCCGGTTACATCACTCCAGTCCCTGGGGGTGTTGGTCCCATGACAGTGGCGATGCTAATGAAGAATACCATTATTGCTGCAAAAAAGGTGCTGAGGCTTGAAGAGCGAGAAGTATTGAAGCCTAAGGAGCGTGGAGTTGCTACTAATTAACTGTTGTGTCTTCTGTCACAAACAACAGTCCAAGCCAGTTCAAGAGGCAAAACAGGCCAATAGAAATGCAATATTTTTTATTTATTTTACCGAAATGGTTTAAAATGATGCTTTGTATTTATTGAAAGCTTAAATGGTTGGGAGTTTGTGCACAGAACTCTGCAGTACCTCACCATGGAGCACGCCAGTATCATGCTGGGTCGTGTGATCCAGCCAAGAGAAGCCATCAACCTAGTGATTAACATGGAGGACATTGTCACAGTGAGAATGGATGCTTAACTTTGTCAAGCCACTTCAGTTAAAATTTGCCTTTTCTAGGATTGCATTTCCCAAGTGCTATTCCAATAAGAGTTGATACTCACTTTAGGTTCCAAACCTTTTGAGTTCAACTGGTTAAACCAAAGGAAAAGTGTTGCTAGAGAAAATTAGGGAAAAGGTAAAAAGGAAGAAATGGTAATTGAGTAGAAAAAAATTACTCTAATTTACATACATAATGTATGTAAAAACTACATGTTAATGGTGTCCTAAGCTGTCATTTCATGGCTTAGTGTTGGGAAAATGTTTAGGGTGGTTCCATGTGTTGTTAGTCCTCGTTTTATGTGCATTACATTCATGAGGTTTCCCATTTTTTTCTAGGATTGAAAGGCTTATTTTATAGATTTGTGTGTATTGTCATATTTGGCTTTTCCTATATCCTTAAACTTCATTGTTACATCTTTGTACTGTTGAGGGTGTCTGTATGTTTCCTTGGTATATCTTGAAACTATTTTTGAAAAACAAAACTCGGGCTTGATAATCATTAGGGCAGCTTATAGAAGTATGCAACTTACTTTTCCACCAAAGACTTGTCAGCAGCTGCCTGCTTTGATGTAACCTGTTGACTTTCCCCGATGGGTTTTTGAGAACTTAATATTGAATTTAATCAGACTTTCTGATTAAAAGGGTTTTCTGTGTGCGTGTGTGTGTGTGTGTGTGTGTGTGTGTGTTTCCCCATTTTTTTTTTTTTTTTTTTTTTTTTTTAATAAAACACTTCTGACTGGGGTGGAATGAGTTTCCAAAATACCGTATCTTCCTGCTACAGTTTTAGTTGTGTCCTAATCACAGTTAATCTTTTTCACTGGATGTAACTGACATAGATATTCTTGTATTCAGTGACACCTAATCCTGTGCCTTAAATTGATACAAAGCACGGTGGAGAAACAAGTCTAGTCCTTTTAGTCTTACATCCCAACAGATTGTGCCAAGCCAGGAGCTTAATCTGTAAGATTCATGTCAGTGGTTAGGCCTATTCTAGGTGCTGTCTAAACCATGCAGCTCAATGTACACATTGTTGGATTTACACAGCCCTTTTTGATATGCTTGCCATTGCCCCCCTTCACTCTGCCCCCTTCCTCTGTATACATTTATTTTTTTCAATGTGTGTGTTTGATTTGACAGATTGGAAGGTGTTTGCTGTGCGCATTTTGAGTCTGGGACAGGTGCCTGTGTATCCTCTTCTCTACCAGGACTGGGTATTTTGGCTTCCAAGCAGGCAGATGATATAGCTCCTGTTCCAGGCAGCTTGAGATAGAAAGAGAAAGAACAAGGAGGGAGTAAGTCAACTTACTTAAGTTACTTACTTACTTACTTGAGTTGACTTATTCTCTCCTTGTTCTTCTGCCAACTGCCTTCTTCTTTTTTAAATGTTTATTCATTTCTGAGAGAGAGAGTCGGGGGGACAAAGGATCTGAAGTGGGCTCTGTGCTGACAGCAGAGCCTGATGCAGGGCTTGAAGTCACAAACTGCAAGATCATGACCTGAGCTGCTGAAGTCGGACACTCAACCGACTGAGCCACCCAAGCGCCCCTGCCTTTATTCTTTTGATAGTTTTCTGGAGATGTAAGAAGATGATAGTTTGCAAGATGAGCAGACAGGATTAAGTTTTATTGAATTATAGTTACAAATGGGAAAATAGTTCTGACCTACTGCAAGGAGAAGTAACAATATGTCAACCTGTTAAAAGCTATCAAAATTACAATGTTCATGTGTGTACAAAATATAAATGACATAGAAGGTGGAAATTACAGTGATCAATTTACAACAACAAAAAACTAACATCATAGTTTTCCAACTTGTTTGATTAATCAAGCACATTTACTCCGGAATCCATAACATTTCTACAGTTTAATTTGGACAAAGTGCCATTGGAAATCAGCCAAGTTTTAAAATAGATGTTAAGGGTAGATTGTAGCTCTTCCAGGATTGGTGCAGATGAAGATACAGAATTTGCACTTAAATTCAGGGGATGGTTCTGGATTAGTGAGCAGCTTAGTCATTCTGCTGTGATCAAGTGGGAGAGGCTTAGAGCTTTACCTCTTGGCAGTATCCCTTGGAAAGGAGCTCTGAGATTTAATAAACACTGAGAGTTTTTCCATGGACCAGGCACTGTACAAGGCTCTGAAGATCGCAGAGGCAATTAGCTGTCCTAGTACCCAAATGTTAATGATCTAGTGTCATTTGTCTTTAAAAAATAGAAAAGAATAAAGAAAAAAGCACCTGCATTTGTAATCTTGAGTAAATGTGGCGACTAACCAAAGAGATTTACTTGAAATTCAAATCCATAGTTGTTTTGGAGACAGTAAATGTCAGATGCATTGCGGCTATCAGGCACATAGTAGGTGTTAAATAAACAATGTTGATGTTTGTCAAATGGGGATTGAAGACAGACTGATAGTAAGTTTCATGCTTCTTTACTAATGCGTCATTAATTTATCCAACTTGGCTTCTAATCATTCCTTTAAAGTAGTAATCTAATACTGCAAAGTTATAATTTAATATTTTACATTAGCTCTGCCTAACATGCAGCAGTCATGTGGATGGGAGTTTGACTTTGGGAATCAGGCCATTGAAAACTTGTAGGAAGAGTCTCCCTGAAGGTGTAAAGAAATCTTATTCTGGATGTGAAAAACCAGTGCTATTAATTTAAAGGGTCATTTTGTTGCTGTAACATGTGGTTTGAAGTTTCACTTTAACAAGAACAATTTTATTTTAGAAACATTTACCCACTCTAATGTGTTGGTTCTTTCATTAACAGACTTTCACAACTGGCTTTTCAATCTGGGAAAGCTCCAGTCACACTTCTGTGCTGGAACAAGGCCACAATGCATGCAGATGGTTCAGACTTGACAAATGACCCTTTGAAAACTGAATGAGATAGGGAAAGATAGGACCTTTGAAATATTTCTTCCCAATGCCAAGTTGCAAAACAAATTTTCCACCGTTGGTGTACTGAAGTGTGAGCATTTTAATAGTTCTTTCAAGACCATCTAGATACTTTAAAATCTAAACTTAAAAAAAAATCTAATTGATATTTGTTTTAATAAAAATTTACTATTGCCCCTTTATCCTAGCTATAATTTGGGGAGGCAAGCATTTTTTTTCATTTCAAGACATGTTATAATTTCTATCCTGGACGGCATTTTAAAATAAAGTATGTTTCCTTTGTTGTTTTCATAACTACAAAAAGGAGATAGCTTTGCACATAAGTAGTACTTTTCACCCACAGGTCAGTTTTTTATCCAGTGGAGTGACCCCTCGGTTTGGCAAATAAGGAAACCGGCACAGGGAAGTTCAGGGATTCGGCCCCGGCCTCACAATGAAGATTAAACCATGTCCTTCCACAGTGAAGATTAAACCACATCTGGGGGAAGCTGCGTCCTAGAGGGTGGTCTCGCCGTCAGTTTCTCTTCCATATCTGTCCACATCTGTGAAGTCACAGTCTGACTCCATTTCTATCTTCACCTGTGGCACCATGAACACTGGGTTCTGTGAGTAGTTGAAAGCAGGTGAAGCTGGACAGGAAATTCTGAAGTGCAAAGTGATGCTGAATGAGAAAAAGAGGGAGGGAAGAGTGACTTATCTAGTACTGGGTGTTTTCAACTGCTATGCCCCAGGGCAGGCTCTAGTGCAAATAGTTGTCTTTGCTTATGAACTCTTAACACGTCCTGGGAATGAGTGGCATCCTCTGCACTTGGCCTTCAGCTGTGGTTGCTTAGCTAGTCTCGCCATGAGTTTCAGCCTGGTCTTCACATTATTGCTAAGGTGAACTTTCTGGATCACAGGTCTTTCTGTGATTCCTACTGTCCAAAAGTTAGAATCCAAGCTCCTCAGTGGCAGACAGGGCCTTTTATGTTTGCACTCCTGATTACTTCTAGTTTGATGGCCTGCTTATCCCAGCAGTCTTCGCCGTGTGTGTATTTTCAAATAGTATTTCAGGCATGTTCCCATTGCCTGAAATGCCCTTCTTCTGCCTCTTTTCTTCGTTACTCTGTAACTGGCAGACTCCTATTTATCATTCCCAGACTCTCTAGATAAGGCAAATCCCTCCCTTAGACACTGACCTTTCTCTTCCATGCGCTCCACTGTTCTTGGCACATGGTGCTGTATGTCTTTGTTCATAGGCCTGTCTTTGTATATCCCCAGGGATTAAGCATCATGCTGGTGGATCACAGATGCTTAATCTTTGTTAAACTAGATCGTGTTGCTGAGCCTTTTCCGCCACTGAAACAGAGAATCCTGTTTAGTGGTCTCTGCTTCCACCTACTTCCATAGATACGGTAAAACACCAGGATAGTTGGGAGGTGCCATCACCAATTATCAAATTTTCTCCATTTCTGATCTTGTCCCAGGTTTTGTACAATTTAACAGATTTTTGAAAATCCCCTATACTGGTCCAGATTTTCTCTCCATGGACTGAAATTGGGACAGAGATTCAATTTGGTGTAGGCTACTTAAAAATGAAAATAGATCCAGATAGACTGCTTTTCTCTTAACACCTTCGTATGTTAAAAATCCGTGGCATTTGTAATGGTGTAGAATCCTAACCTGAGGGGTGGGATGAGAAGCCAGGCAGAGATATAACTGGGACATGTGATACCCCTGGGCCTTGGGTCTGCTGCTTAGGGAGGCTGTTACAGTGAGATCTGTCTTCTCATCCTAGCAATGTGGGAACAGCCTTGACTTCTCAGTTTTCTAAAATCTCTTGAATGAGTGCCATCTGAGTGTGGAGATTCATCTGCCTCTGGACTTGGGATAGCCTGTGCTTTTGCTCATGGGTGACGTAGTACAGTGATTCCTGTCCAGTTTAGAGCACTATGTAGGAGCGCCCTACCATCTTCCCAGTAATAACTGAGGCCGACTTTCTTGCCCCTGGATTTCTCTTTTCCATTTTCGAGACTTCTGTGTTTTCAGTCATCAGGTTGCCCCACTTTTTTCATGGCTTCTCATTCAGAATGCCAAGGTATCACATTTGGCAGAGGGGCTCCTGGAAATGGGCTGGAATCCTTTCTTGACTATTACCTCCATTTAATCTTTTTTCTTAAGTAAGCTCTACGCCCAACATGGGGCTTGAACTCACAACCCCAAGATCAAGAGTCATTTGCTCCACTGACTGGGCCAGGCAGGTACCCCTCCACTTGATCTTTGATATTTAGATAGCTTTCTTTGATAGCCTTTCTGCCCTTTGCTAATTAACCATACTGTTACTTTATTCCACTGGTATTGGAGTACCTGGTGTTTTGATTCTTAGACCTGCTTTTATCCTGGCATTCAATAATCTATACTTAAGTAATGTGTAGTTTTTCTCTATATTCTTTTCCCCCAGTATTTTCAGTTTTCATTCTATGTAGTATTCTGTAAAAATTTCCTTTTCTAAAGTTGAGTACCTTTTATATTGTAATCATGTTATGTCATACTTGTTACTTGACCCCAATAACTATGTCTCTCCACTTCTGGTGGACCAGCAAAGGCCTTTACTGAGACACTGGCTAGCCTGAGAAATCCTAAGCCCTCAGCCTTCCAGGCCATTGCTTAGTCTCTTATCTAAAACCCAAGGAGTCTACCTCATGGCCATTACCTTCGGTCAAGGTCTGAGTCACTGAAGGAAGAATCAGAATGAGTAACTCCAACTGGAAGATCTTTTTCCTGGCAGGAAAATTAAAATGTCAGTTGTGGAGCAGGTTTGAGGACCATACTGGAGAAGGCCTTTCTCCAGTGCCTCCCTCACCCTCCTTCCTATTCTCTAACCCCTATGGCCAACACTACACAAGAGAAATTCAGGGGCCTCACAGGGATGGGTGACTTCACCAGACGGTTCTCAGCCAGGTTAGGTGGGTGTGAGGCATGGGCGGGGCCAGGGAAGAGTGAGAAAGGGTGATGGAAATATACAAATGGCAAGGAGGAAGGAAAATTAGAAACAAAAAAGGAAAGGTACCTCTGACAGAGAGTGATGGGAAGCCCTTCAAGGGCCCTGGCAGGATTCTAATCTGGGTCCTGTAGAAAAGGTGGCAAGTCCTATATTAGGAGCACTGGGGTCAGGACTCAAGTGGAATCTTTCTGATTACTCTCAGACAAGGCTATGTTGTCTTGACAGAAGTGTGCACTGGGAGGGCGCTGACGCTGGGAGGGGGTAAAGGCAGCCACAGATGCCCCAGGATCTTCGTAAGCAAAGCCCCATCTCTCCCAGACAGCCTCCATTTCAGCAGGAGGAAGGTACCTGTGATTCATATGGAAGCACAGCCCAACCACTAAAACCTCCCCTTCTGACAAAAATTTGTGATCCCAATGCTATACTATTTCTCTAAAGGAGACAACTCAGCTGGGATTTGAACTCCCAATCATTTTCAATAACCACTGGAAAACATGGGAGGCTCAGGGATTCAGGATTGGGTAAATGTGGTCTGAAATGATTCAAGAGAGGGCCAGGTAGTGCCATAGACATCAGGAGGCACCAGGGGAAAGGAAGGAATGAAGGACTTTGCCCAAATGGAAGTGAAGATTGATCACTGGCGTCTGCAGGGTTTGATTCTGGGTTTCTATTTGGTTGAAGTCTCAGTCCTTGTGACCCAGTTCTCATTGAACTCTGCCTACCACAGGAGTCCTCTAGCTTCTAAGATTATTAGATCCCCCTGAATTAAAGATGAAAGTTCCTTGGAGGAAGAGCTGGAGGATTAGTAGTAAGTAGGAAGGGAGAGACACCATGTGTTTTACTTACTGGCAATGCAGTGGATACCATTTTGGGGATCTGACTGGACACTTTCCATGGGAATCTTTATAACTGAGGGAGGAGGGAACTGGGGCTGGAGAGAAACAGTGGGAAAAGCTGATAAACACCAGCAATACAACAGCTTTGGCTTTCTTGCCAAGATGGAAAATACATGCACCACAATGTGTGCCAACCACCATCCTCTTTACATCTAAACACTTAGGAGGTGCTACAAATACCCTGGGGCCCGCTGAGGGGCAATCATAGTTAGCCTGCTGTCCTAGACAAGACAGAAGTCTTCCAGGAACGTTATTGATCAGAACAGTTCCAACTGTTAGAGTAACCAATCTCTTGGGAGTGAATCTCACACAATGGCTGGTGTTGCTGTAAAGACACGTGTAAAATGAATTTATGTAAATCGAATCCCATTTTTCCATTGAATTTTTCATGCTTTTCCCCAACCCTGCAGAAGTTCCTGGCACGTGGTAGCCACTCAAATATTTATTGAATGAATCAATGAAAGAATAAGTATTTGTCTTTAAAAGGCACTTAGATTCTCCGTTTCTTTGTTCTCAAGCCTATCTTTGCAAACCAACTAAATCACCAATGAAAAACATGTGAATGAATGATGGGCCTCTTGAAGGGGAAAGTAATTAAGGACAAGGGGAGTTTGGGTCTATCACTACCATCAGAAGAGGGTTTGATTGCCACTAATCAAGGATCTGTCTGTGAACAGCTCTGATCTGCAAAAGGCAAAATCACTAGAACAGTTCAAGATAGATGCAGAAATGTGGGTTCAGGTCAAACTGGGAGAATGCAAGGACAGGCATGGTGTGAGGAGATGGCATGGGTAGCTTAGCATATTGGAAATGATCGAATTCAAAGTCAGGAACAGTTTTCTTAATTCCCTTTTAGACATTTAGCCATATGTCCATCTTGGGTAAACTACTTCCCTTTTGGGGGACCATTTCATCATCTGTAATAAGCACTTGAACTAGATAATCTTCCTGCTTAACATTTTGTGATTTACTGTAAGCTCTGGACTGGCTTCCTGTCTCTTGACTCCCTGGGTGTTTTGGGGGTGGGATGGGAAGGAAGCATGAGAGAAGAAGGGTAGATGGGGCAACCAGGTGGTCCCCAGCATCTGAGGAATGTAGCCACTCTCCTTTCAGTGAGGACATAGCCTCTCCCCCCCACCTTCTTCCCTAATACCCCAAGGGCAGGCCAAGCAAACCTTGTCCCCCAGTACTTGTCCAGGAGTCTAGTCTACTGATGTGGGTACCCATCCGACTTCTCCCCTGAGGTCTGCTCTATTCTTTGGAGATCAGTCCTCATAATCTCCATGATGGAGCTGAGTCTTCTGCCCTGTTCCATCAAGGACCTGCACTGCTATTGATAATGGCCCCAGAAACTCACAGAAATGGGAAAGAGTGGGCGTGGCAACCAGCCTTTCCCTGGATTGGGGGGGGGGTGGTTCATTCACTGTGGCCCTCCCTGAGAATATTCACATAAGCAAACAAGCTCTCAGCACCCCACACCAGTATGAGGAGAAGCCTCAGCTCATCCTGGATTAGGCCCAGGTGATCACAGCTGACCACTTGAGAAGCTACCTCCTCCTTGACCCTGCCAGAAATGGAGGGAGGGTTTCTTGATCTTTTCCCTTGACCCTGGCCTCACGTCCTCCCCACCTCCTCATCACTGTCCTCAGGGACCCCTTTCCTTCTCTTCTTCTTCTTATCCGTCTCCTTCTTCTCTTTCTCTGGGAGGATATTGTCAATCCAGGCCAAATCATGCTGGGAGAAGATGAGGTCCAGAAGCCTTCGAACGATGATGAGGCCCAGGATCTGTGGTGAGAGTTCAGAGAAAAACATGGGCTCAAGGCCCCAAAGTCAGATATTGTTTTTTCTCTCTCAGTCAGCTATACTCAGGGACTTTTTCTGGTGCCTTTGGAGCCATCTCAGAGCTCCCACAAACCATCATTCACCTTCTGCCCAGCTTGGTTCCTCTCATCTGGTCTTTCCTCAGTTGACTAACAAAGCCTATCAGTGACCCAGGGGAGGGAGCCTGTTGCAGCTGAGGACCAAGGACTAAAGAACTACAGTTATTCTTTAAATCAGTGGTCCTCAAACTTGAGCTTCCATCGAAACACCTGGAGGACTTGTGAATACACACACTGCTGGGTGCCACCCCCAGAGGTTGTCATTCAGCAGGTCTGGGGTGGGGCCTGAGGATCTGAATCTCTAACAAGTTCCCAGGAGATATGGATATTTCTGGATCAAAGATCACATTTTGAGACCCACTGTCCCTATTTCTGAGAGCTGCCAATCTCTCTGCTAACAAAGTATAAAGCATACTGAATAAAGTGTACTGGGATATCAGGAGTTTTTACAGTAAAGTCTAGAAAGTTTGGTTCTGTTCGGGATAAACGAATTAAAGGGAAAACACATGTGCACTTTGGGGAAGATTAAATACTGGCCTTTCAATAGACTCAATGGGCTCAGAGTAACTAGTTATAAATATTGCCCCTTCACTACCAAGAACTGGTCATTAAATGAGATCAGGGAGAAAACCATTCAGTTGAATTTAACTCTGGGTCCTCACTGACCCTTTCTAGAGAGCAAGTAGATCTAGGGAAATGGACAGACCTGGGTTTTGAAAATCCTAGCTCTGAAAACAAAATAGTGGTTGCTAGGGACAGGGGTGGGAAGAGGCACTGTCTGCATAGAAATGGTATGAGGAGGTTAAAGAACACCCTACTAACGAATGAGTGGGTCAACCAGGCAATTAGAGAAGAAATTTAAAAATATATGGAAACAAACGAAAATGAAAATACAACAATCCAAACGCTTTGGGACGCAGCAAAGGCAGTCCTGAGAGGAAAATACATTGCAATCCAGGCCTATCTCAAGAAACAAGAAAAATCCCAAATACAAAATCTAACAGCACACCTAAAGGAAATAGAAGCAGAACAGCAAAGACAGCCTAAACCCAGCAGAAGAAGAGAAATAATAAAGATCAGAGCAGAAATAAACAATATAGAATCTAAAAAAACTGTAGAGCGGATCAACGAAACCAAGAGTTGGTTTTTTGAAAAAATAAACAAAATTGA